CACCACAGTGTCCCACACACACACAGTGTCCCACACACGCACAGTGTCACACACCACAGTGTCCCACACACACCACAGTGTCCCACACACACCACAGTGTCCCACACACACACAGTGTCCCACACACAGCACAGTGTCCCACACACAGCACAGTGTCCCACACACACCACAGTGTCCCACACACAGTGTCCCACACACCACAGTGTCCCACACACCACAGTGTCCCACACACCACAGTGTCCCACACACCACAGTGTCCCACACACACCACAGTGTCCCACACACACCACAGTGTCCCACACACACCACAGTGTCCCGCACACACCACAGTGTCCCACACACAGTGTCCCACACACCACAGTGTCCCACACACCACAGTGTCCCACACACCCGGGTGTTGGAAATTTCCAACATTTTATTACTAATAATCAGTATCATAAGAAACTATTCTTATACTGTTCAATATAATTTACCGACTCTACTAACAGATTGTTCAGTAATATATAGTTTAACTTAATAAGGCGTAATATTGTCTTATTTCCCTAAAGTTCTAGTCAAGTGTTACATCAACACAGAACGAAAGTGAAAATATTTACATTCACGAGAATTGTATTAAGTTCTCCTTATTTCAAATGCTTTAATGTGAAGTATTATTATTTAATAACCCTGCTGCACGATTATGCTCAGTGAATTCAAGCTGATAATAAGTTTACATTCGAGTTACCAATATTGTGTATTAGTTGGTAATAATTCACGCAATTACGAATTGTTACTTCAGCACATTTACAGATGACTAAAATTTCTATCCAGCAATCTTCTATCGCATAGCGTTTATCTAATCATTAAGAAACGAGAATTTATATATTGTGAAATATGACCAATTAATTCTCTATAGTTTTTGATAAATCTTATTTCCATCAACTCGGAAAATTAAATAAAGCGTAGAAAATGTTCAACGCGTCATAGCCCGACTGCGCATGCGCGAGCTGCCACGGGGAGGAGGAGAGCCTGGCAAGCGACGCCATATTTAGGGAGAGTGTCTGGAAGCTGACCACACAATCGTCTTCAGAGAGAGCCATCCGTGTACCTACAGACGCCAACAAGACGCGGCAGCTTCATTACGTCACAGACACCGTGTCCGACACATTAGTTTGTTCTTTTCTAGTTTTTTGTTGCTACATTAAATATTTAAGATAAGACAGTGTGTCGATATGATGCGAGCCCCCAATACCAAACTCGTAAGTCTCCTTCCCCTTAGCTATTCACATTAATTTCTATGAATACTTGAGGAATAATATATTCTCCAATAGATTTTACACGTGAATCGTCTGTCAACTGCCAGCGAGACTATAACTTCCTCGACGCTCAGGTGTTCCCAGAGTAGCCTGATGAAACAGGTTTCAGGCGACGATTACACGAGTTCACGGAACGATTACTACTATTTCTGCCTTCAGCTGAGCGGTCTTTGTAGTTTTCGTAGAGAGATTGTAGTATTAGTCATTGATGTTGACCAGACCACACACTAGAAGGTGAAGGGACGACGACGTTTCGGTCCGTCCTGGACCATTCTCAAGTCGATTGAGAAATGGTCAAGTCGATAATCGACTTGAGAATGGTCCAGGACGGACCGAAACGTCATCGTCCCTTCACCTTCAAGTGTGTGGTCTGGTCAACATACTTTAGCCACGTTATTGTGACTCATTCAGAAATCAATGACTAATGTAGACGATATCATGTTCCTGCATATTTATATATGTGAATATTTAAATTAATGCATATTAGTATTTCATTATCTGAAATACTTTAAACTCTATTTACTTATTAAACCCCCCAAAGTCTGTGGAGGGATTTGGCTTTACAATTAATAATAATTACAGTTCATTTATTATATATTAATAAATTTAATTTATACTTTATATAAGAGATCCATTGGCACTGGTTCTCTAATTTATTTCCTTTTATTAAAGGTGGTCCTTCGAATTATTCATTAGGTTATTATTTTGGAGCCAGAATTTCCCACACACGCGGGTGTGTTTGTCGGAAGTTGGAGGTCAGATGCCTCACCAAGCTTTCTCACATGAATCTTGTGGGGTATGGAAGTATCATAGGCCAGCACTAGTGCCACATTTTAAGAAATATCGGCAGTTAACCCAATCCCTTAATCTGAGTTGCAGCTAATCCTATCAAGTCTAAAACGAAGGGTATAGTTTTCCAGAGAGTTTTTGAATATATATATATATATATATATATATATATATATATATATATATATATATATATATATATATATATATATATATATATATATATTAACAATGTTTAACAACGTATCCATAAAGGAGAATATCTGAGTTTAAGTAGGAATTCAGATGCTTGTGGATAGACTAACTAAACCTTCACACAGATAACAAATGAAAAATACATGACATGTGAGCAACATAGGCCTGTCGGGATCACCCCAAGTGTCATGCTTTAAGAAATATCAGCATTCTAAATGCCCCCCCTTCCTTTTTCCATTCACACTGTCGACTTGATAATGGTCGAGCACGGACCGAAACGTCTTCGTCTCTTCATCTTTTAGTGTGTGGTTTGGTCATCATATCTTCAACCCCGTTATTGTGATTCATCGTCTGCATGTCAATCTTGAGTCATTCTGGGTCACGAATAACGGAAATGCTGTTGAGAATTGTTGATTACCTTTACTTTTCATCCAAGACGAGTCTTAAAGCTATTTTGCTGCACAAGGGAGAGCTTTACCATCAACTCCAGTGGGCTCTGCAGCCACTATGTAACACATGCAGGCGATGAGTCACAATAACGTGGCTGAAGTATGTTGACCAGACCACACACTAGAAATTGAAGGGACGACGACGTTTCGGTCCGTCCTGGACCATTCTCAAGTCGATTGAGAATGGTCCAGGACGGACCGAAACGTCGTCGTCCCTTCAATTTCTAGTGTGTGGTCTGGTCATCAATATGTAACACATTCCTCAGCACCACTCCACATAGTGCTATACATTGTGTCCTTGGCTATGTCCGATATGAGGATGAGAAAAAGTACTGGAGCAAGCACAGTACCCTGGGGGACTGAGCTCTTCACGGTTGATGGGCTGGATTATGATCTACCTGATCTACATCTGATTGGAGGTTTGCCGTGTCCTCTATGTTGCCAACTCTCATGAAGGTCCTAGTGTCATCTGCAAGGATGATACCGTGCTATAGGTTGTGTTCTTGTCTATGTCCGATATGAGGATGAGAAAAAGTACTGGAGCAAGCACAGTACCCTGGGGGACTGAGCTCTTCACGGTTGATGGTCCGGATTTTATTTTGTTGACTATTACACATTGGGTTCTGTTGGTCAGGAAATTGTAGATCCATCTGCCTATTTTTCCGATAATTCCTTTTGAAAGCATTTTATATGCAATAACACTATGGTCACATGGTGTTATTGCAAAGGCTTTTGCGAAATCTGTATAAATTACATCAGCGTTTTGTCTCCCATGGCATCTAGTGCCATGTCATAGTTGTCCATCAACTGTGACAGGCAAGAGAGCCCTGTTCTGAAACCATGTTGTCCGGGGTTATGGAGATGCTGTGATTCCATGTATTTTGTGAACTTATTTCTTAGCACTCTAAGATTTTTATGTGTGATGTTAGTACTATCGGTCTGTAATATTTTGCCTCTGCCTTATTTCCTCCTTTATGCAGTGGTGCTATCTCTGCTGTTTTTAAAATGTCAGGGATAACGCCAGTATCTAGGCTTTGTCTCCACAGAATGTGGAGGGCCTGCGATAGTGTTTTTTTACAGTTCTTGATGAATATAGAGTTCCAAGAATCCGGGCCTGGTGCAGAGTGTATAGGCATACTGTTTATGCATCTTAAAAGTCCAGTTTTTATCATACAAAATCCAGCTCTCCTGGGTTTTGTATGATTCTTGTAGCTTGAGTTCAATTGTTTCTATTTCTCTGCCTAACCACCTTCGCCGTTCTTGAGATAGGGTGCGACTCTCAAGGTGTTCCGCGATTCGTTTTCTTCGCCTATATAGGGAACGACGTTCCCGTTCCAATCTGCATCTCTTCTTCTTCTTTCTTAGGGGTATGCGGTTTGAACATATTTCTAGTGCTACTGAGCTTATTTTTTTCCAGGCACTGGTTCAGGTTTGCATTTCCTATCTGTTCTTCCCAGTTTATTACTGGGAAGTCCTGGTTTATTTGTTCCCAGTTTATCTGTTAATTCTTGAAGTTGAATTTGCTGAAATCTCCTCCACCGGGAACCGGGACTGGTTTTGATGGAATATTCACAATGATTGTCAGAACTTCAATCAAGTTGTGATCTGAGTAACAGGTATTTGTACACCACACCACCCCACACACCACACAGCACCACCCCATATCCCACATCACCACCCCACCCCACAGCACCACCCCACACCCCCACCCCACAGCACCACCCGACAGCACCACCCGACAGCACCACCCCCCACCCCATAGCACCACCCCACACACCACAGCACCACCCCACCCCACAGCACCACCCCACCCCACAGCACCAACCCACACCCCTCAGCACCACCCCACCCCACAGCACCACCCCACCCCACAGCACCAACCCACACCCCACAGCACCACCCTCACCCCACCCCACCCCACACACCACATCCCAACCCCACAGCACCACCCCCCACCCCGCAGCACCACCCCCCACTCACACAGCAGCTACACAATAGAGCAGTCCTTCCCGGGCCGGAATCTAATCACTAATAAGATTAAAAAACTTGGTGACTGACTGACTGGGACAGGCGCCTCACAGCCGGGTGTCCCTCAATGCGGTTAATTTAAACTTGGGACTCAATTATTAGGCTCCACACTCAGCCAGATAAACAAAAAATTGTGAAGTTAAACACGATAATGTGGAGGCCCTCGAGGCTAGCAAATATAATTATCCACGGGAGAGAGAAGCCCAGACACCTGTCTGAGGGAGAGACAGTATACTGTGGTCACCTGTGATGTGGTCACCTGTGATGTGGTCACCTGTGATGTGGTGACCTGTGATGTGGAGACCTGTGATGTGGTCACCTGTGATGTGGTCCCCTGTGATGTGGAGACCTGTGATGTGGTCACCTGTGATGTGGTCACCTGTGATGTGGTCACCTGTGATGTGGTGACCTGTGATGTGGAGACCTGTGATGTGGTCACCTGTGATGTGGTCCCCTGTGATGTGGAGACCTGTGATGTGGTCACCTGTGATGTGGTCACCTGTGATGTGGTCATCTGTGATGTGGTCACCTGTGATGTGGTCACCTGTGGTATGGTCACCTGTGGTGTGGTCACCTGTGATGTGGTCACCTGTGATGTGGTCACCTGTGATGTGGTCACCTGTGATGTGGTCACCTGTGATGTGGTCACCTGTGACGTGGTCACCTGTGACGTGGTCACCTGTGACGTGGTCACCTGTGACGTGGTCACCTGTGACGTGGAGACCTGTGACGTGGAGACCTGTGATGTGGTCACCTGTGGTGTGGTCACCTGTGATGTGGTCACCTGTGATGTGGAGACCTGTGATGTGGAGACCTGTGATGTGGAGACCTGTGATGTGGTCACGTGTGATGTGGTCACCTGTGATGTGGTCACCTGTGATGTGGTCACCTGTGATGTGGTCACCTGTGATGTGGTCACCTGTGATGTGGAGACCTGTGATGTGGTCACCTGTGATGTGGTCACCTGTGGTGTGGTCACCTGTGGTGTGGTCACCTGTGGTGTGGTCACCTGTGGTGTGGTCACCTGTGGTGTGGTCACCTGTGATGTGGTCACCTGTGATGTGGTCACCTGTGATGTGGTCACCTGTGGTGTGGTCACCTGTGGTGTGGTCACCTGTGATGTGGAGACCTGTGATGTGGTCACCTGTGATGTGGAGACCTGTGATGTGGTCACCTGTGATGTGGAGACCTGTGATGTGGTCACTTGTGATGTGGTCACCTGTGATGTGGTCACTTGTGATGTGGAAACCTGTGATGTGGAGACCTGTGATGTGGTCACTTGTGATGTGGTCACCTGTGATGTGGTCACCTGTGATGTGGTCACCTGTGATGTGGTCACCTGTGATGTGGTCACTTGTGATGTGGTCACCTGTGATGTGGTCACCTGTGATGTGGAGACCTGTGATGTGGAGACCTGTGATGTGGAGACCTGTGATGTGGTCACTTGTAATGTGGTCACCTGTGATGTGGTCACCTGTGATGTGGTCACCTGTGATGTGGTCACTTGTGATGTGGAGACCTGTGATGTGGAGACCTGTGATGTGGTCACTTGTAATGTGGTCACCTGTGATGTGGTCACCTGTGATGTGGTCACTTGTGATGTGGTCACCTGTGATGTGGAGACCTGTGATGTGGTCACTTGTGATGTGGAGACCTGTGATGTGGTGACCTGTGATGTGGTCACTTGTGATGTGGTCACTTGTGATGTGGAGACCTGTGATGTGGTCACTTGTGATGAGGAGACCTGTGATGTGGTCACGTGTGATGTGGAGACCTGTGATGTGGTCACTTGTGATGTGGAGACCTGTGATGTGGTCACTTGTGATGTGGTCACCTGTGATGTGGTGACCTGTGATGTGGTGACCTGTGATGTGGTCACTTGTGATGTGGAGACCTGTGATGTGGTCACTTGTGATGTGGTCACTTGTGATGTGGTCACTTGTGATGTGGTCACCTGTGATGTGGTCACCTGTGATGTGGTCACCTGTGATGTGGTCACCTGTGATGTGGTCACCTGTGATGTGGTCACCTGTGATGTGGTCACCTGTGATGTGGTCACCTGTGATGTGGTCACCTGTGATGTGGAGACCTGTGATGTGGAGACCTGTGATGTGGAGACCTGTGATGTGGAGACCTGTGATGTGGTCACTTGTGATGTGGTCACCTGTGATGTGGTCACCTGTGATGTGGTCACCTGTGATGTGGTCACTTGTGATGTGGAGACCTGTGATGTGGTCACTTGTGATGTGGTCACCTGTGATGTGGTCACTTGTGATGTGGAGACCTGTGATGTGGTCACTTGTGATGTGGTCACCTGTGATGTGGTCACCTGTGATGTGGTCACTTGTGATGTGGTCACTTGTGATGTGGTCACTTGTGATGTGGTCACCTGTGATGTGGTCACCTGTGATGTGGTCACTTGTGATGTGGTCACCTGTGATGTGGTCACTTGTGATGTGGTCACCTGTGATGTGGTCACTTGTGATGTGGTCACTTGTGATGTGGTCACTTGTGATGTGGTCACTTGTGATGTGGTCACTTGTGATGTGGTCACTTGTGATGTGGTCACCTGTGATGTGGTCACCTGTGATGTGGTCACTTGTGATGTGGTCACTTGTGATGTGGAGACCTGTGATGTGGTCACTTGTGATGTGGTCACCTGTGATGTGGTCACCTGTGGTGTGGTCACTTGTGATGTGGTGACCAGTGATGTGGTCACTTGTGATGTGGTCACTTGTGATGTGGAGACCTGTGATGTGGTCACCTGTGATGTGGTCACCTGTGATGTGTGTGTACTCGCCTATTTGTGCCTGCAGGATCGAACATTGACTCTTGTATTTTGCCTTTCTAGCCGCCGATTATTTATAGCAATGACTCCTGTCCTATTTCCCTATCATATATAGTTTTTAAATTATGAATTATGCTCCCTCGTTTTTTCTAGTGTCGTAAGGTTCAGTTCCTTCAGGCGCTCTTCATACCCCATCCCTAACAACTCTGTGACGAGCCTCGTCTCAAACTTCTGAACCTTTTCCAGTTTCCTAGTGTGTTTCTTCAGGTGAGGACTCCATGATGGGGCTACATATTCTAAGACTGGTCTCACGTAGGTGGTGGTAAGCTCACTAAATGCCTCCTTACTTACGTTTCTGAATGACGTTCTAACTTTTGCCAGCGTCGAGTATGCTGCTGTCGTTATCCTATTTATATGCTCCTCAAGAGTTAGATTAGGTGTGACGTCCACTCCCAGGTCTCTTTCTCGAATTATCACGGATAGGTAGTTTCCCTTCAATGTGTACCGTCCCTTTGGTCTCCTGTAACCTAATCCCATTTCCTTAGCTCGTGTTGAACTTCAGTAGCCATTTCTCTGACCATATCTGCTACCGGTTCAAGTCCTCTTGAAGGATCCTACAATCCTTATCTGTTACAACTCTTCTCATCAACTTTGCGTCATCCGCGAACATCGACATGTAGGACTCTACTCCTGTAAACATGTCATTTACGTATATCCATTTAAATAAAAATGGAAATGTTCGTTTGTGCATGACCGCTAATCTCCGAAAGTTCTTCACCGATTGCTTTGAAATTTTCACACGACGTTCCATTCGCATCCGAGCAGGTTTTTATATACATACTATATAGATGTCACGTCTGTGACATTAAAAAAAACATGGTTTTTCTGAAAAAAACTGTGGTTTTCATGTGTTTTTCATGTCGGGGAAATCTTCGAAACCTCTTTACCGATTGCTTTGAAATTTTGACAACGTTGCATTCGAATAGGCGCGTCTTTTTATATATCTACCACATACATGCCACCCCTGTGACAGGTAAAAACATGCGTTTTTGAAAGTAAGTAATTATAAAAAATAAGGCACCAAACCAGGAAGGTTATGTAGCACCATCAAATGTGCGGGATAATCAGAGGGCGCTAAATATCACCAAGGATGCCAATACGAGAACATAAATGCATAAGGCGAACGATATCAAAAGTATCCGATTCACCAAGAATTCTATCGAGGGACAAGTGACCGCGAGGGGCGGTCGGAAAGCAGGACACACGCTCGTCCCGGAAGTCAGGACATTCAACAAGGATATGTACGACGGTAAGAGGGACAATGCAATTTGGACAATAAGGAGCTGAGTGGTGCTCCATTGCTTTTTTGAAAAATAGCGCTACCTGTTGCACATAATAGCAACATCCACACTATACTAAATATGTCACGAATTACATTTCAATGTTTCCGATTGCATTGATAAACTTTATTTTCCTAGATTTCGATTTATTTTATTTTTATTGAATTATTTTGTGTGACATTGTGTTGGAATTGAGCTGTGTTGTTTACTATATCGTTCATTTCGTGAGTATAGTTTGTTTTATTTTTTCATATTTTCATTTCATTTTTAAACTATTTTTTTTTATTTTTCAGTGATGGGAACATCAGATAATTTGATGTTCCCAATTTTCTGATGGGAACATCAGATCATTTGGGAATGCATCGGACGAGGGAGTGGGGAATGGTGGGGAGGACGAGGGGATAGGGAAGAGGGGAAATGGTGGGGAGGACTGGGGTACAGGGGAAGGTTCCTGTGGCTCAGCAACGCACATGCGTTGCTGAGCCACAGCAATGCGTGGCCGGGTACAGCTAGTTAGAAATAGAATTGGTCCCAGCACCGATCCTTGAGATACTCCACTTGTTACTGTTCGCCAGTCCGACTTCTCGCCCCTTACTGTTACTTTCTGGCTCCTTTCTGTTAGGTAGTTCCTTATCCATACTAGGACCTTTCCGCTTACCTCCTCCTGCCTCTCTAGTTTGAATAGCAGTCTCATGTGCAGAACTGTATCAAAGGTTTTTTGGCAGTCCAGAAATATGCAGTCTGCCCAACCTTCCCTGTCCTGCCTTATTCTTGTTACTTTATCATAAAATTCCAGGTTTGTTAGGTATGATTTCCCTTCCATGAACACATGTTGGTGTTTGTTCACAAACCTAATATTCTCCAGGTGTGTAGCCAGTCTTAACCTAATTATTCTTTCAAGTTCTTTACGGGGGATGCTTGTCAGTGATACGGGTCTGTAGTTAAGTGCCTCCTTCCTATCACCTTGCTTGAAAATTGGTACGACATTTGCCTTCCTCCAGTAACTGGGCAATTCTCCCGATATAAGTGACTCATTAAAGATCATTGCCAGAGGCACGCTGAGGGCCTGCGCTGCCTCTTTTAGTATCCACGGTGATACTTTGTCTGGTCCAATCGCTTTAGTTGTATCCAGTGTTGTCAACTGTTTCATTTTACTAACTACTAAATAACCAATTCCCCCCCCCCCCCCCCACGCACACACACACAGGAAGCAGCCCGAAACAATGTACTCACCAAGTTGCGCTTGCGGGGGTTGAGTTCTGGATCTTTGGTCCCGCCTCTCAACCGTCAATCAACTGATGTACAGATTCCTGAGCTTACTGGGCTCTATCAAATCTACATTTGAACTTTGTATGGAGTCAGCCTCCACCACATCACGGCCAAATACATTCCACTTGTTAACTACTCTTATACTGATAAAGCTCTTTCTAACGTCCCTGTGACTCATGTGAATACTCAGTTTCCACCTGTGTCCCCTTGTTCTCATACCACACGTGTTAAAAAGTTTATCCTTTTCTACCCTGTAAATTCCTGTGAGAATTTTGTAGGTAGTGATCATGTCTATCCTTACTCTTCTGTCTTCCAGTGTCATGAGGTGCATTTCACGCAGCCTTTCCTCGTAACTCATGCCTCTTAGTTCTGGGACTAGCCTAGTGGCATACCTCTGAACTTTTTCCAGCTTCGTCTTGTGCTTGACAAGGTACGGGCTCCATGCTGGGGCCGCATACTCCAGGATTGGTCTTACATATGTGGTATACAAGGTTCTGAATGATTCCTTACACAGGTTCCTGAAGGCAGTTCTGATGTTAGCCAGCCTCGCATACGCCGCAGATGTTATTCTTTTGATGTGGGCTTCAGGAGACAGGTTTGGTGTGATATCAACTCCTAGATCTTTCTCTCTGTCCGTTTCATGAAGGACTTCATCTCCCATTCTGTATCCTGTGTCTGGCCTCCTGTTTCCACCGCCTAGTTTCATTACCTTACATTTACTCGGGTTGAACTTTAGTAGCCATTTGTTGGACCATTCATTCAGTCTGTCTAGGTCATCTTGTAGTCTCATACTATCTTCCTCCGTCTTAATCCTCCTCATAATTTTTGCATCATCAGCAAACAATGAGAGGAATGATTCTATACCCTCTGGGAGATCATTTACATATATCAGAAACAGTATGGGTCCAAGGACTGAACCCTGCGGGACTCCACTGGTGACGTCTCGCCAATCTGAGACCTCACCCCTCACAGTGACTCGCTGTCTTCTGTTGCTTAGGTACTCCCTTATCCAATGGAGTACCTTCCCTTTCACTCCTGCCTGCATCTCCAGCTTTCGCACTAGTCTCTGGTGTGGCACTGTATCAAAGGCTTTCTGGCAATCCAAAAATATGCAGTCTGCCCACCCCTCTCTTTCTTGCCTGATCGTAGAATTCAATTAATCCAGTGAGGCATGACTTGCCATCCCTGAAACCATGGTGATGTTGTGTCACAAAGTTCCTTCGCTCCAGATGTTCCACTAGCTTTTTTCGCACAATGTTCTCCAATAATTTGCATGGTATGCAAGTTAGAAACACTGGTCTGTAGTTCAGTGCCTCCTGTCTATCCCCCTTCTTGTATATCGGGACTACGTTCTCCGACTTCCAAATTTTTGGCAGTTCACCTGTTACCAGTGATTTGTTATACACTATGGAGAGTAGCAGGCACAATGCTTCTGCTCCTTCCTTTAGTATCCATGGCGATATTCCATCCGGGCCTATAGCCTTTGTCACATCCAACTCTAGTAAAAGCTTTCTTACATCCCCACTGGTATTCTCAAATTCCTCTAGTGGTGCCGGGTTAACTATTCCTTCTCTTATCTCTGGAACTTCCCCTTGCTCTAATGTGAAGACTTCCTGGAATTTCTTATTAGTTCCTCGCACACTTCTTTGTCGATTGTAGTGAATCTGTCTGCCCCAATTCTCAGTTTCATTACCTGTTCCTTCACTGTTGTCTTTTTCCTGATGTAGCTGTGTGTGTGTGTGTGTGTGCTCACCTAGTTGTGTCTGCAGGATCGAGCATTGACTCTTGGATCCCGCCTTTCGAGCATCGGTTGTTTACAGCAATGACTCTTGTCCCATTTCCCTATCATACCTGGTTTTAAAATTATGAATAGTATTTGCTTCCACAACCTGTTCCTGAAGTGCATTCCATTTCCCCACTACTCTCACGCTAAAAGAAAACTTCCTAACATCTCTGTGACTCATCTGAGTTTCAAGCTTCCATCCATGTCCTCTCGTTCTGTTACTATTCCGTGTGAACATTTCGTCTATGTCCACTCTGTCAATCCCTCTGAGTATCTTATACGTTCCTATCATGTCCCCCCTCTCCCTTCTTCTTTCTAGTGTCGTAAGGCACAGTTCCCTCAGGCGCTCCTCATACCCCATCCCTCGTAGCTCTGGGACGAGTCTCGTTGCAAACCTCTGAACCTTTTCCAGTTTCATTATATGCTTCTTCAGATGGGGACTCCATGATGAGGCGGCATACTCTAAGACTGGCCTTACGTAGGCAGTGTAAAGCGCCCTAAATGCCTCCTTACTTAGGTTTCTGAATGATGTTCTAACTTTTGCCAGTGTAGAGTACGCTGCTGTCGTTATCCTATTAATATGTGCCTCAGGAGATAGATTAGGTGTTACGTCCACCCCCAGGTCTCTTTCACGCGTCGTTACAGGTAGGCTGTTCCCCTTCATTGTGTACTGTCCCTTTGGTCTCCTATCTCCTAGTCCCATTTCCATAACTTTACATTTGCTCGTGTTGAATTCTAGTAGCCATTTCTCTGACCATCTCTGCAATCTGTTCAGGTCCTCTTGGAGGATCCTGCAATCCTCATCTGTCACAACTCTTCTCATCAACTTTGCATCATCCGCAAACATCGACATGTAGGACTCTACGCCTGTAAACATGTCGTTAACATATACAAGAAATAGAATTGGTCCCAGCACCGATCCTTGTGGTACTCCACTTGTTACTGTTCGCCAGTCCGACTTCTCGCCCCTTACCGTAACTCTTTGGCTCCTTCCTGTTAGGTAGTTCCTTATCCATGCTAGGACCTTTCCCCCAACCCCCGCCTGCCTCTCGAGCTTGAACAGCAGTCTCATGTGCGGTACTGTATCAAAGGCTTTTTGGCAGTCCAGAAATATGCAGTCTGCCCAACCATCTCTGTCCTGTCTTATCGTTATTTTATCATAGAATTCCAGAAGGTTTGTTAGGCACGATTTCCCTGTCCAGAACCCATGTTGATGTTTGTTCACAAACCTAATGTTCTCCAGGTGTGCAACCAGTCGTAGCCTAATTATTCTTTCCAGTATTTTACAGGGGATGCTTGTCAGTGATACAGGTCTATAGTTAAGTGCCTCCTCCCTATCGCCTTTCTTGAAGATCGGCACGACATTTGCCTTCTTCCAGCAACTGGGCAATTCTCCTGACATAAGTGACTCATTAAAGATCATTGCCAGAGCCACGCTGAGGGCCTGTGCTGCTTCTTTTAGTATCCACGGTGATACTTTGTCTGGTCCAACTGCTTTAGTTGCATCTAGAGTTGTCAACTGTTTCATTACCTCCTCTGCTGTCACCTCTATATCTGATAGTCTTTCATCTAGGGTAACCCCTTCCAACAATGGGAGCTGCTCAGGCTCGGTAGTGAACACTCCATGGAAACTGGCATTCAGTGCCTCGCAGATTTCCTTGTCACTTTCAGTATATGCCCCCTCTGTCTTCCTTAGTCTTGTCACTTGGTCGTTCACCGACATTTTTCTTCTTATATGACTGTGTAGTAACTTAGGTTGTTTTTTCGCTTTGATTGCAATATCGTTCTCATAGTCCCTTTCCGATGTTCGTCTTATGTTAATGTAATCGTTCCTAGCTCTGTTGTATCTGCTTCTGTTGTCCTCTGTTCTTTGTCTTCTGTACTTCCTCCACTCCCGCCTGCTGGCCATTTTTGCTTCCTGACACTGTCTATTAAACCATGGGTTATTATATTCCTTCTTATTTTTTCCCTTTACCGTTGGTATAAATCTCTTCGGCCTCCTGGCATTTCTGTATGACTAGGTCCATCATATCTTGGACTGTTTTTCCTCTAATTTCTTCCTCCCACTGCACTTCATCCAGATAGTCCCTTATCCTCATATAGTCCCCTTTCCTGTAGTCAGCTCTCCTTTCCCAGATCTCTTGTCCCATGGTCATAAGTTTGAATTCCATCATGTAGTCAAAGACTAGGACACAATGGTCACTGGCCCCTAGAGGTATTTCATGCTCTAAATTCTCGATATCTTCTACGTTCTGGGTGAAAATCAGGTCTAATAGGCTCAGTGCATCTCCTCTTTCCCTTGTGTCTTCCTTCACATGTTGTGTCAGGAAATTCCTGTCTATAACATCTACTAATTTTGCTCCCCACGTTTCGTCCCCTCCATGGGGATTCCTTGATTCCCAATTTATCTCTCCATGATTTAGGTCCCCCATGATCAGCAGCTTCGCTCTCATTCTGTGGGCTAGTGTTGCTGCCTTCTGCAGTTCATCTATACATGCTTTGTTGTTGTCATCATACTCCTGCCTGGGTCTTCTACTGTTTGGTGGGGGATTGTAGATTACCAAGATCACAATCTTCTTCCCATCT